GTCTATCTCTCTCTCTCTCTCTCTCTCTCTCTCTCTCTCTCTCTCTCTTTCTCTTTATATCACTATCTCTCTCTCTCAATCACTCCCGCAGACCATTGAGAACCTGTACCTGGAGCCTGCCCTCCAGCGAGAGTTATTTTCTCTCTCTCTCTCTCTCTCTTCATTTCTCTCTCTATTACACTGTCTTTCTCTCTCTCCACATGGTCTCTCTCACTCTCTCTCTCTTTATATCACTTTCTCTCTCTCTCTCAATCACACCCACAGACCATTGAGAACCTGTACCTGGAGCCTGCCCTCCAACGAGAGTTGTCTAACATGTGCCTGAGATCCTTGGATAGTGCTGAGCTCACGATCCCCCTCCATGTCAAGCGAGTCCAGGAGTTCTTCTTCCTCATGGCTGTCTGCAACACCGTGGTTGTCTCCTACATCCATGAGGATGCTGTGAGTTTGAGATTATTTTAATTTTTTTTAAAAACATTAGAAAAAGATAATGTTTATTTTAGTGTAGTAATTTTAGCACCCCCATTGACACGATTTAGATCATTTAAGAGGCGCAGACTTTCGACCTTGTCTGTCAGGACCAACCTGAGCTGAGAGGGATACAACATCCCAGTAGTACTCAGCAAAAATGTTCTCCTCACTTGAGAATCGAACTAGGGTCTCCTGCATGCAACATCAAAGATCATAACTTCTGCTACTCCACTGACCCCAGGGAGATATGTTTTAGTAAGAGTTTTACTTGCTACACAAATAGATCATATAAGTGCCAGTGATTAGAGGTGTTACTAGAGAGTAATATACAAAGAAAAGAGGTAGGAGAGATAAGGACAGTAGATGTCTGATAGGGAAGAAGGAGCTTAGCACACTAGAGTGCCGCCAACAACCCACAGTTTGATATTGTAGGACTGAAGCTTGTCTAGGTGTTTAACACTGGTGGAGTTTTTTAAAATCCCATACTGATATGTGGTGGTCATTTTGTCCTCGATCTTTTTCAGGGTAATGGTAATAAAACATGGCATTTATATAGCACATCTCCAGAATCTACAATTTTTAATGAGCTTTACCAAACAGACTTTCTTCTAAGGAATCCAAAGATCACTCTGGGAAACATGTAAAAAGTTTGTTTTTAAGGTGCACTAGATTCATTAGGGATTTTTGACATTCCATTTTTCATTGTGGTCTACTTAAACCTCACCTTTAACCATTTCAATTCAGCAGGAAATTGTTTTAGATATCATTGATTTCAAATTTCATTTTCCATTTTCTTTCTTTCTTCTTTCCTACCAGATGGACGAGAGTGGGTATGTCACAGAAGCAGTTTCTCCTAAAAAAGGGAGCACGCCTGGTACAAGCACCAGCAGAGAGTCGTTGAATGTGTCAGGGGGCGGTACCCTTGGCTCCACTCGCAGTAGCGACTCTCTGGACCGGCCGGCCCCACACACCCGTATGCAGGGCGGGCTGACACCGCTCAAGTCACGTTCCCTGCTGTCCCTATCAGGTGAGCTGTGTAGAGTGGAGATAGGAGTGTACCCTGGCCTGTTCTCTATAGTTCATAGTTTTGACTGTTTTTTGCCCTCAATATTCAGTGATGTTATAGAGCAGGCATAGGCAAACTAAGGCATACAGAGACACTGCACTAGTTGACACACTCCAGGATGAAATAAAATCAAGTAAATTTTGACTTTGGTTCACAAGTCAGGAAAAATCAAGTATTGTCGAACCTGCTCAAATGGCCTCCTGTAAAAGACAATCACTTTTACAAATCTCTATTTCTCATTGCCACCATCCCTGCATTTTTTTTTTACATTACAATGACACCGTGTAAGACGGCCTCCAGTCCGAGATAGCCACTTTACTCCTCGACAGTGGGTGGCTTTCTATTAACCCTCGTCCTGCGGAGGCCGGATTTATGTCGCTCAATAAGCCTATTTTGGCACCTCGCCTGCGTTTTGGTCCCGTGTCAGTCTGGCCCCTGGCTCAGCACACACGTGCCGAGCGTCATCTCCCGTGAAATTCAGGTCCCGCATCGGATCCCATTCAGGCAGATCAAGTGTGTGTTCGTCAGTCTGCTTCAGTTTGTGTGCGTTTGTGGCCTTCTTCTTGAACCGCCTGCTTTGGTTTGTAATCAAGTTGTACGTCTCATTCAAAACACGCCAAGTTGGTAGCTCTAGATGTTCTTCCAATGAAATTATAGAAGAAACTGACTCACTTAGACTTGAGGAGCTTGAAAGGATAGTCAGGAAACAAGACTTCCATTTTTCTATAAAATATATTTCAAATGAGCTTGATTTTGTCTGATAAAAAATAAGTTCGTTTGATAGTTTTAAATACCATTGTGCGGGTACAAAGAACAATTTGAGTGCAAAGCATTCGGAAATTGACCTATATTATCCCCTTTCGAACCTCGGGTAATTCATAACAACAAGAGCGTCTAGAAAGGTTATTCGAATGGGCGTAACTACTCGTAATGTCTTATCAGCTTGTGAGAGGGGGTTATTCATGTGTTTGTAATACTTTATATATAGAAAACTATGAAGGATAGAGTGTTATTTAACAATGTTGACTGTATGTTTATGTTTGGTTGGTAAATCTTGGAAAAGTGTATGAAATTATGTTTACATTTTCATTGCCAGGGTATGCGTTCCTACTGTCAGCACTGATTTTCAGCTGAGCAGGTTACCCGGGGCAGCAGCCTAATGTCTCAGTGTTGATGGGCGCGCGGTCTAGATCTATCGCACTCTTGACATATATCGGACACCGGGTCTTTGATTGTCACTTTTCAAATTCCCCATTTCCTCCCATCTTACTCATAATTTCTATTAACTGACAAATCCAAGTGAAAAAGTGAATTTATTTGCCTTTTTAAAGTCATTTCGATGTTTACATTTTTTTAGAGCACACGTCCGCCCGCAAGCCTAGATCTGTGTTTATCGATCGCATACAAGCCTAGCGGTAAAGTAATGCTGGACAAATTTGGTACCGATATCCACATCTTTTATTTCCGAATACGAATCTATACAGTGCTTGTGGCTAAAACTCCATACAGAAGAATTAGAGCCAGGTTATTAGCATGACATACTTGTAACGTCACATAGGCAACTAGGAGGAGCAAATTTTGCAACTATTGTGACGTTCATGACGTCACGGCGCTAAGAATTACGCATTTTCATGACGTACCAGATACGTCATAAGGCAGTGAAGGTGTTAAAAAAGCATTTTGTCATTGTACTCTGGTGAAATATGACTCTTATCGAGCTGATGTGTGGCTGTATAGTGTGAATCAACTCAAAAATCAGTCCAACCCCCAATCCAACGATCTCATTCTCTGACCTCTTTCAGCATCTGAAAGCGGAGGGGACTTCATGTCTGAGGGCAGCGTGACGGGGTCCTCGTTTATCTCGGAGGGTTCCGCCCGCATGCACTACGAGGCTGAGAGTCCTGACGAACTGGCTCTGGTCAAGGCGGCTAGCACTTACGGCTGCAAGCTCAAGGGAAGGTCCCCAGGGAAGGCCAAGGTCTTTCTGCCAGGTGAGTGTACACATAGATGGGGTGGGGGTGGCCGGAATCATGGGTTGGTATAGTTTTTGGATAGGGTTTTTTACCCGCGGAGAACACCGAACCGGGAGAGAGACAAAAACGCGGCTTGTGCATGTCCGCCCGTAGCTTTCTACTTCCGTTCTTCTAGGCCCAGCGCTAGTTTCACATTGTTTATTGTTGTGGAGCAACATAGTGTCGACCGGGCATCGGGACGTTGGCGTGCCGAGTTGTCATTGAAAACGGCGGAAATTCGAGAGAAATTGATGCAGAATGCAAAAATAAAAGGAGCTGGAATGAGAAAGAAGCAGCCGGTGTGCGACTTGAAAAGTTAATTAGAAAATTGAACTAGCCGCTTGCTGCACTTTGCGTTTGGTGCGAAAGAAATCGCGGCCCACGGCACTCCTGTACAATTGCGGTCTAGTTTGTTTACATGACGGCTATTGTGGTTGTGGAAGTGAATCTAGATCTAGATAATCTATCTCTAGATATAATCTAGATCTACACATATTTAGATATCTAGATTTTAGATCTAGATTAGATAGCCTAGGCTATAATTTTAATTCAGTTTAGATCTCTAAATAAGAAACTCACTACAGGGGCACTAAGTGCAAACGGGACCGCATTATTGTACAGGAGTGCCTACCTCCTTGATCCGGTACTGCTCTACATCGATGTAGGCTACAATTTTAAAGTGAAAGAAATCTTTTTATGAGGCACCAGATGGCAAAAAAAACACTGGATTTTTAGTCACCAAGTCCAAACTGTCAAATTGACTCGAATGCTTGTTAATCAACTTGTTGCCTTTTTGGTTTTGTTGGGGGTTTTTTCAAATACATTTTAATTCAGTCGCCTATGGTTAACAATATGACAGTTTTCCCTTCCAAAACCGTAAGCTAGATTTTCCAGTATAGATTGCCTCTGGATCTCACTGGTTTTACTCCGGCCTTCGGAGAGCGCGCGTACGCCTTCGCGTGAATTTCCTCCTTTTTTAAAATTCTTGAGTGGCAGCTGTGTATACAATATGAAAATGGTGCCTTTTTAAAATCGCCAGTGTATTATGCCCTGTTTGAGAAAGTTTTGATAATTTATGAGGCAGGTTGCTCCCAGTTGGGAATCTAACTCATCACTTAGTGTGGAAAGGGAAGAGAGAAACATAATAGCTTAGAAGTTGGTAACGTTTCTTTGAAAAGCATGAGATTTTCATTTTGAATTCTTTTACTTTTGTTCTGTTTCAAACGCTATCTTACAACCTTTGCTGATATGACTGGTTTTCTTCGGGCCACCAGCTGACAACGAAGAGGTGGAGCTAGATGTGCTCAACGTGCTCCACTTTGACGCCGTCAGGAAGAGGATGTCTGTCATTGTACGGCACATCAAGTCTCGCACCATCATCCTCTACATCAAGGGAGCTGACTCTGCTATACTGGAAATTTTGCACTCTCGTTATGAAAGTAAGCTTTAGAAATATGTCTTTTTTTTTTCCTAATGTAGTCTGAGTTGGAGTGTCTCTTTTCCTGAAATTTCCAGAAATTGGGAGATATAGAATGCTATTTTTAGATTTTATTTTTGTGGGTTATACCCATCTTTTTGTGAGAATTAATGAAGCTTTGTATTTTATCACACGTAAGAGGCACCAGTTATCTGACTCTTTTGTACTGTGTATGGAATGTTTTTATGATATAAGGTATCATGAATATTTCACGGCGTCACTTTTCGCCCGATTCTGTTACTTTTAGTTCGCATGACTCAGCAGCCCGCCAGAGCTCCCCGGCTCGGGGTCACTGGGTTAATGAGCCCTGAAGCGACTTTGCCGCAGTCGGTCAGGAAGTTCGCATTTTTGACTATGTTTAAAACGATATAACTTCTTCCCCATCCCACATAGCAAACCATTACGCGGATGTACTAAAAGCTCAGTGTCTTGAGATTTATTCTGCGTTAGAATGGTTAGTTTCTGTGCCTTAGTTTTTGCTCTAGACAAGTGTTTGTAGAGTACCCAATTTGTCCTATTTTAGATACAAACTTATGAATAAATGATTGTTAATTTAAAAAAGGCACGACAGATCTCTCCAAAATCTGTGTTAAACTGACTACGGATATCATGTCTTTTACCATGAGAAATCTTAAATCTGCGCTAGTAGTAATAGTCAAGTTATAAGAGAAGAAAGATGCACACCTGCATTTTTTAACTAAAGACGATCAGCATTAGCTCTTTTTTTACTATTAAACAAGAGAAAGTTACTCTGCGTTTGTTCATGAATCATGCTGTGTCTGTGGCAGCCTGCATACAACTAACTTGTATGGAATAAAAATAATGACAGCTGAAACCTTCATTCTTAGTTTTTGTGTAGGAAATATACGCGGACACAATTATGAATGTAAAGAAATAAGTCACATTGTCAGTTATTGCAAATGGTCATAGAAACGAAAAGAAGCTGGAAAAGTCTGGTGCTGATTCAGTGTTCCTGGAAAGCTAGAAATTATTCTTATAACCCAATTATGAGAAGTCATCCTTATTATTCAGTCAACTTACAAAACCAAGACTGAGCGTTTTAAGGAAAGTAAGGAATTTCTGGAGTGTAACGGATACTGTTCGTGTATTAGATCTACGTTGAAGATGTATTCTAGCACTAAAATCGATTTGTACTTTTCATAGAGAAACTTCATGGTAACTTTTATAAACTTTCGAGAAAATATGCATATATTCACGATTATATTAGACACATAAAGTTGTATTTGGAGGAATTACTTCATAGCGAATTGTGTGCCCGATGGATAAAATTGTAAAATTACAGCCTTCTATTATAAGCGCAGATACCATCTTTTCTGAGTATCTGCACCAATGTTATGTTGTTCATGTTCCAAAAGTTTGACAGATTTTGACGATGCCTTTTTTTTATATTGATTTTTTTTCATTCACGCTAGTCAAAAAAAAATTACAATTTAGCATTGCCGACTCCAGCGCGTCTAACGAAATAACCAGACAAGTTACAACGTCCGTTCTTTTTTGAGTCTCAAGAGCAGAAATGCGTGCTTTGGATGCACTAAATGAGAATTACCATAAAAACAAGGATACACCTTAAATTGTACGTTGAAGAGTACCAAAAATTATGTCGGCCCAGACAGAGCGGCGACAGGGAGCTGACCCCCGTGACCCCGACGTGATAAGGCGCCCGGCAGCAACTAAAATTCCACTGCCAGTGCGCCATGATTTATACACTTCTTCTTCAGATAGGAAAGGAAATTGTATTGTTTTTTCAGTTACGCTTACTGAATGTAGAGAAATTATGTTGAAGAGCTGTTATTATATCAAATTCAGTAAAACAATCCTTTGTGCTGTCACTTCTTAATTTTGGGTGGCTGGAGGACACCACTGGTACGTCCAACTTCTTTACTGTCCCTCTTTTGTTTCTGTCAGTCTTGTTTTTTCTTAGCACTTATTTACTGTTATTGTGCCTATGTGCCTCTCTTTACTCATGCAAATAATTACTTTTTCACCCTTAAAAAAAAGTGCTTTCCTATTTCAACTGGCTTTTTAAATATTCTATTGGAAAGAGTTGGGAATAGTTGATTGATAAATATTTTTGTCTGAGCATCAGAGAAACTGTGCTGACATTAAATTCTATTAAAGTTATAATCATTTTTGCCTGTTGTTCAGTTTTGTGAAAGTTAAAAAGCTTATTCCTTGACAGATGATTTGAGTTTGATCCTACAAGTGATTGGAGGGTGTTATTAGTACTGTCTGTCTTGCTTTCTCCAAGTATTAAATGACTACGATTGTATCAGAGTGCTTCTTTTATCATTAAGGCATATAACCCAAATTGTTCAACACATTCTTCAGCAGTGCAGGACTCACAAAGCTCAGAGAAAGAAAATGTGGCCAACCCCATTAACATTACAGGAGGAATTATATGAGCCAACAGAGAAAGTTAGCTGGACAGCCCAGTGTGATGCAAATGAGAAAAAAAAAAAAGACAAACAAACCTGAATAAAACCCTGAAGGGGCTTTGCAGTTCCCATTGACTTTTACTGAGTGATGTGTGGGACTGTGTTCATCTTGAGGGAAATGTAAATGTCTTTTTTTTTTTTTTTGCAGGTGATGAGGATGACAAACGTGTGAAGACCATGACCTTGGAACATCTCAACAGCTATGCCATGAAGGGCCTGCGTACTTTATGTATGGGCAAGCGGGTGAGTGAAACAAAAAGAAATGATTTGTGCAGTCTAGCACGCACATTGCGCACTCTGCGGGAAGTGAAAATCTTTCATAATAAACGAATTTTGCCTTTTATGTGCTTTTAATACAAAGAATGTAGATATATAAGAAAAAATATTGAACCCAAAAATCTATTTGCTATGTGTATGTTCGCTTTGTGCATGTTTTGCTATATGCATGTTTGTTATGTGTATGTTCGCTTTGTGCATGTTTTGCTATATGCATGTTTGTTATGTGTATGTTCGCTTTGTGCATGTTTTGCTATATGCATGTTTGTTATGTGTATGTTCGCTTTGTGCATGTTTTGCTATATGCATGTTTGCTATGTGTATGTTTGCTCTGTGCGTGTTTCGCTATATGCATGTTTGCTCTGTGTGTGTTTCGCTATGTGTATGTTCGCTCTGTGCGTGTTTCGCTATATACATGTTTGCTCTGTGCGTGTTTCGCTATATGCATGTTTGCTCTGTGCGTGTTTCGCTATGTGTGTTCTAGATTGTAATCGTAAAGGTTTTACTCCCCGACCGACGCTATTCAGATGATTTAGAAGGTGGGCTGCTTTGATCGTGCCTGTCAGGGCCAAGGGAAACCAGGCTGATAAAGATATGACATCCCTGCAGACAGATGGAGATACTTGATTTAAAACTTCTCCTCACAGGAATGAACTCGCGTCTTTTGAATGCAGCCGACAAGAGCTTGAATCGTACACCACTGCTGCGTGTGTCAGTTTTGCATATAGAGTACAAAATGACAAAACATCTAAAAAAGTTTGAGGTAATTGTTGGCATTGTGGCTTTGCTGGATTGAGACCCTGGTGACGAACTGGCTTCTGTGGTGTAATAGTTAGGCTCTTTTATGCAGCATATAAGAAATGTTAGTGCAATTCCTGCTTTGGAAAGTTACGTGTTGAATATCTTCATCTGTGTGGGGTGCTGTAGTGTCTCTCTCTCTGTGCCTGAGTTGGACCTGGCAGGCAACGTTCAAAGCAGTCTACCGCCTAAATTATCTACATTGTGTCAGTAGGGGCAGCAGAACATTTACAAAGATTATTTGTGCTTTTCAAAATGATGTGCCAATATTTTTTCCTTATATAAATCCATCTGCAACATTCACTGTTCAGTCCTCTTGTTGTATCATAACAGTCAAGTACAAAGTATTGCCGCATTTATCCCAGTGATTGTAGATGTTGCTCTAATTTTAAGACAGGCTAAGTTAAATGAGACGAAAATTCAATGTTCATATGAATCACATTTCTCATTGCTTTCTTGTCCTTTGTTGTGCCAGGAGTTGGATGCAGCCACGTACGAGAGGTGGGCTGTGGAACACAGGAAGGCAGAGAGTAGCATGAACAATAGAGATGAACTCATTTTGGAGTCATGCCTGGCAATTGAAAAGGATATTGAACTTTTGGGTGAGTCAAGCATTTTTGGTAAAAGTGAACGTCAGCCCTCCATTCATAACTTACATGACCTACAACAATCGTCCAGGATCTCCACTTATAGTGGGACTACATTTTGGTCACCGAGACGTCAAGCGTGAAAGACGCTTTTTAACCTTTTAAAAAATGATCTTGCTGAAATCTGAAAAGACTCTCTACGCTGATGATCTTGCTCTCTGGCAGACACATCACAGCACAGTTGTAGGAGCAGGGAAATTAAAAGAAGACCTCAAGAGGCTCCACAATTACTGTCAGAAATGGAAGCTTAAAATAAACTGCACGAAAACAGTACATACCCTATTTTACAAAAAGCCATAAAACAGTCAAAGAAAATCTCCTACTAAAGATAAGAAATGAAAATCTCCCCAAAGAAGAACAACCAACATACCTAGGAGTCAAACTTGAGCAAAGTATAGCCATGGAAAACCAAGTGGAGAACATAAAGAACAAGGCGAAAAAAAGACTCCAACTTTTAAAGAAACTCGCCAGCAGTTCATGGGGATGAGACAAACAAACTCTGACAGCTCTATACCTTGATTAATTCTGATCTTCCCTAGAATACAGCAATAGCCTACTCACTATGTGCAGTACAACTATTTGCTGCACCCTTAACAAGGTAAAAAATAATGACCTTCGTTTCATAAATGGTGGCATGAGATCCACACCTACCGCCGCATGTGAAATCCTTTCAAATGTTGAACCCCAGTGAATCCGCAGAGATAAAGCAGTTTTGGAGCTGCATGAAAGAACCGAAAGAAGGAGCCCCAACCACCCAAACAGGAAATTGGTAGAAACATGGAAACCAAAGAAACGATTCAACAAAAGTCAATCGTGCATCACATCACAGAACTAATGGATAGTCACCATCTACCTCAAAACAGACAAGAAACCAAAAGAGTCAACTAAAATATCTCTCCCCACCTTTCTTTAAAAAAGCCAATCATTACATCTCTCAGAGACAATAGCACAAAATTTTCAGACCCAGTGATGCTGATGCTTGACGCACATCAAACAATCGACAGCTATTCAGATGACTGGATACACGTCTATACAAACGGCTCAGCTTTCAAAGGCACAACCAAAGCCAGATATGGATTACTAATACACATGGCTTCCAGTCTTCCGCAATTTTGCAGATTTCCGCAATTTAGTAGATTTCTGCAAATGGAAAAATTTCTATGAAAATTCGTGACAAAAACCAAAAAAAAAATTATTTTCAAAAATGCGAAATAAAAATTTTCCGTTATTACCAGTAGTCACAGAATTCTACACTTATAGAAGCGGAACTCCCTCTTCGCGATCGCCGATTCGCTGTGAGGAATTGAAACTAAAACATGGCGGCCAATTGAGGGCACCTTTGGCTGCGCCGCACAGCGAGGCTTCGCGTTGCTATGCACGCTGATGCTAGTGGTAGGGCTTGGAAGACACCTTACATTAAGTTACATCAGTATTTTAAAACTTTCTTCGAAGAGGAAATATAGTGAAATAGTCTAGTACATTTTTACTGCCAACAATATGTCATAATTGGCAATGTTACAATGTTTTTGTATCTGTATTGTTGGTTTGTTGTTGTTTTTTTAATGATGGGATGGAATGGGATCTAATCTAGTCTAGATCTAGATAGATCTAGATCTCTAGATCTACTACTAGATCTAGATCTACTAAAGATCTTCACAATCACAATACACTTGATAATAACACTAATTATGAACATTAACTCTGTTGGAAAAGTATCTAGATATAGTCTTGATTAGTACTAGATCTACGATTGGAGAATGTGTCGGTTGCACATAAAATACATAGGCCTATTGTACATGCTGCCAAAAACACAAAAATGCAGAAAAGGCCTCTAAATATTGTTTTACACATAAAAGCCATTAATGCAAAACAAAGTAAACAAGAGTGGAACTGGCATATGTTTCCTGAATATATGTTCAAAGTCATTTTCTGTGTGTTGGGAGTGTGATTTCTAATGCATGAATGAGAGGCTCATTCAGATGTGATAATGAAGAAACTTGTGTCTACAGTCACAACAGAAAGAGTTCCATGGCGAGTGATCACTGGTCAAGGATTTCAGAGCTGTGTGCATTTTGAGAAAAATGTATCCCCATACTCTGGATCACATGTCGAGGGGATGGGCTTGTCCCCCTGTAATCCCCGCACACAGTAAACAAACACATATTTTGGAACACGAACAAGAAAAAATAAGTGGTCTCTTGTTACGGATCAAATCGAAGTCCTGTTACAATTCAATTAATTGATAAAAGTGCGTATCGCAATGCGTTGGCCACCCCTGCCCTATAGGCCTATATGCTATTTAATAAATACATTCGTCAGACCTGGAATCTTTAATGCCCGCACACAGTAAACAAACACACATTTTTGAACACGTATAAGAAAAAAATAAGTGTTGTCTTGTTACGGATCAAATCGAAGTCCTGTTACAATTCAATTAATTGATAAAAGCGCGTATCGCAAGGCATCGGCTAACCCAGCACTATTACGCTATTTTATAAATACATTCGTCAGATCTGGAATCTTTAATCTTTAATTTTTAATCCCCGCACACAGTAAACAAACACACATTCATGAACACGTATAAAAAATAAGTGGCCTCTTGTTACGGATCAAATTGAAGTCTTGTTACAATTCGATCAATTGATAAAAGTGCGTATCGCAATGCGTTGGCCACCCCTGCCCTATAGGCCTATATGCTATTTAATAAATACATTCGTCAGACCTGGAATCCTTAATGCCCGCACACAGTAAACAAACACACATTTTTAAACACGTATAAGAAAAAATAAGTGTTGTCTTGTTACGGATCAAATCGAAGTCCTGTTACAATTCAATTAATTGATAAAAGCGCGTATCGCAAGGCATCGGCTAACCCAGCACTATTACGCTATTTTATAAATACATTCGTCAGATCTGGAATCTTTAATCTTTAATTTTTAATCCCTGCACACAGTAAACAAACACACATTCATGAACACATATAAAAAATAAGTGGCCTCTTGTTCCGGATCAAATTGAAGTCCTGTTTCAATTCGATTAATTGATAAAAGTGCGTATCGCAATGCGTTGGCCACCCCTGCCCTATAGGCCTATATGCTATTTAATAAATACATTCGTCAGACCTGGAATCCTTAATGCCCGCACACAGTAAACAAACACACATTTTTAAACACGTATAAGAAAAAATAAGTGTTGTCTTGTTACGGATCAAATCGAAGTCCTGTTACAATTCAATTAATTGATAAAAGCGCGTATCGCAAGGCATCGGCTAACCCAGCACTATTACGCTATTTTATAAATACATTCGTCAGATCTGGAATCTTTAATCTTTAATTTTTAATCCCCGCACACAGTAAACAAACACACATTCATGAACACGTATAAAAAATAAGTGGCCTCTTGTTACGGATCAAATTGAAGTCTTGTTACAATTCGATCAATTGATAAAAGTGCGTATCGCAATGCGTTGGCCACCCCTGCCCTATAGGCCTATATGCTATTTAATAAATACATTCGTCAGACCTGGAATCTTTAATGCCCGCACACAGTGAACAAACACACATTTTTGAACACGTATAAGAAAAAAATAAGTGTTGTCTTGTTACGGATCAAATCGAAGTCCTGTTACAATTCAATTAATTGATAAAAGCGCGTATCGCAAGGCATCGGCTAACCCAGCACTATTACGCTATTTTATAAATACATTCGTCAGATCTGGAATCTTTAATCTTTAATTTTTAATCCCCGCACACAGAAAACAAACACACATTCATGAACACGTATAAAAAAATAAGTGGTCTCTTAAATTGTTACGGATCAAATTGAAGTCTTGTTACAATTCGATCAATTGATAAAAGTGCGTATCGCAATGCGTTGGCCACCCCTGCCCTATAGGCCTATATGCTATTTAATAAATACATTCGTCAGACCTGGAATCCTTAATGCCCGCACACAGTAAACAAACACACATTTTTAAACACGTATAAGAAAAAATAAGTGTTGTCTTGTTACGGATCAAATCGAAGTCCTGTTACAATTCAATTAATTGATAAAAGCACGTATCGCAAGGCATCGGCTAACCCAGCACTATTACGCTATTTTATAAATACATTCGTCAGATCTGGAATCTTTAATCTTTAATTTTTAATCCCCGCACACAGAAAACAAACACACATTCATGAACACGTATAAAAAAATAAGTGGTATCTTAAATTGTTACGGATCAAATTGAAGTCTTGTTACAATTCAATAATTGATAATAGCGCGCATTGCAATGCATTGGCTAACTCAGCATTATACGCTATTTAATAATACATTTGTCAGATTTGGAATCTTAAATTATAATCATAAATTATATGTGCCCGCGCGTGGGAAGTGAAAGTGAAAGGAATTGAAAATGCTTTCAAAAACAATTATGAAAGTAACATAATTAAAGTAGGACTACATGTGCTTATAAAGGCCCAAAAAGGTGTACAGATGCGGAAATTAATGTTTCGGATGAAAATAATACGCTATCTCTACTACTGTAGCATGCGGTTAAAAATTTGATGCGCAACTTATCAAATATCTAGGCTACTGAACTATCGAACACCTAGATCTAGATTCTCCTACTTTAACACAATGACTTAGATCTATATCAATTCGTCTTAACCGATGAGTATTTTTTTCAAACATTTGTACACATCTATAGGTTCTATATTATTCTAGAAATTTCTTTAAAGAAAATTCTTTAATAAATACTAGCCCAATATTTAAAAAAAATCCCAGTCAATGGTTTCTACAGATTTTTAAAAAGTTTATAGCTGGAGCTAAATCTCTTTTAAAAGCAAGTCCGTCCTTTTTTCTACTTCTGCTGGCGACATAAAGCTAATTATTGAACGCATGTTTTGAGAACATTATAAGAACTAGTGAAAAAATATGTTCAGTGTAAAACAAATTTCTTGTAATAAGTTTTACTACTAAAAACTACGTAGGCCATATGCGTATGCAAAATGTGTGTGGGAAGCTAGAAGTGCTATGAATTTTTTTCAGTTCTGTAGATCTTATATTTATAAACTCTCTATGTCTGCTGTTTCTCTTGTTGCACCCAAAAACACAACAATTTAAAACCTTAATTCCAATCTCTAGTTGCACAGTGAATTCTGTAACTCAAAATTACAAACTGGACAGTAAATGTTCCACTTTTCACTCGTTTGTAAAAGCCGCTCTTGCTTTAAAAGCTATAGGGTTACTTCCGAAAACGATAAATCGTGCCCTCAAGACGCCATTGTTTTCGGTCTTCAATTCCTCACAGGTCACGTGGTACAGTTCCCGTTCTATAAGTGTAGAATTCTGTGCCAGTAGTCAACAATAGCCAACCCATACCGGAAGTGCTCTTTTATTTGAAAGTGTAGACTGTGTCTTTTACTTTCACTTTCTAAAGCACAAGAAGCACAGCACTAGCTCTGTAAACAAGAGGAAGAAATGCCGAATGTGGTTCAATAGATCTTGGGCCTGCCAAGAAAAGGAAACTCTAAAGAGAGCTTGATTTTTTTTTACCAGACTTTTTTATTTGGGTAATTTTTTACTTTCACTCCCGCACACAGATGCACTGCTTCAGGGGTCAAACTGCAGTCCTGTTTGCTGCAGATCACACATAAAGCCACTAAAACTGTCGCAAATCAATTATTTTCAAGACAACTTCAAATCTAACTGTAAAATATCAAATTATAGGTAAAAACTGGGGCCCCAGATTTTCTTTTACCCCAGTGGGGCAGGCCCCCCTGGAACCCCCCGATTGGTCCAAAGCTCGTCGATCTCGGTTAGAAACAATAGAATATTTCAAAAACTATTAATTTGCGACGGAAATGAAGTTGATATTCGTGTTCAGCGTATCAATATTTAGCAGAAAATAGACAACTGGTAGCTGAGTATGAGACGGGAGGGAAAGTAAAAAAAATACATTTATTTGTTAGTATTGTTGTGGATTAAAGTTGAATATATAGCTGTCAAGTTATTTAGATCTAGAATCTAGATTCTAGACTAGAATCTAGAGATCAAGTCAAAGTCAAGCTGTTATTGTTATATAAAAAGCTATTATTGTAAGAATTCTACACCTTATGCTGATTATGGTGCAAACCAACACAAGCAGAAAAAAGTTAAACATTAACTGTCAAGTTTTATAGGTCTAGTTGTGGATGTACAGTATCTGTACAAGGGAGAAAGTATGGCTTTGGATTTGGAAATATATGGATTAACACAAGCAGAAAATTATGTAGGCCTATACAAGGTATGTTTTTTTTTCTCAATTATTTTCTAGTTAAATTTAGGCTTGAATAGCCAGAAATGGCATACTTAGGATGCTCTGAAACCAAAAATTCTCAAACAGAAAGGGGACGCTGTCCCCCTTCAACCCCCTGCCAGGGCTCTGCCCTGGACCCGAAAATCGTCGAGAAATGACATCAGCCGCTGGAAGCTCTGAATACAGTACCCAGATTGAAGTTTCAGTGAAATCTCTGCAGCCTGTGGAGAGAAATGCAGCAGCTATGATGCAGAAATTATGCCAATTGAAACAGCACTGTACCATCTCCGCAGTTTTTAACACTCCTCGTGGAAAAGCACAGAGTATTATGATTTTCACTAACTCACTATCAGTCTTGCAAGCGATTGAAAATGACCATCATCTTAACCAAGATTTGACTTGTATACTGATTGACTCCCATCATCTAATGACATTCTGTGGCATCAACCTGGTAATGCAGTGGGTCCCCGGTCACTCAAACGTACCAGGAAATGACAGAGCAGCCACACTTGCCAAACGGGGATCTAGACAGGAACAACCCAACATTCCAAGTTCATGCAACACTGCCAAACAAATCATTAAAAGCAACAACAAACAAGATTGGATGAACAGATTGGCCCTGGGAAAGACAGGCAGAGCAGTTTTCAAGCATACGACCACAACAAAAAAGAATGACAATATCAACCACCTACGGAGAAAGAAACAGACCATGATCTTCCGTCTACGAACAGAAAATAAACAGCTCAACTTCCACTTGAACAGAATAAACCCTAAATGACATTAAGGGCAAGAGCCCATCTGTTGCTGGGTCGATAACAACAACAACAACAACAAAAATGATGTTTTGAAATTTACTGATACCGCTCTATCTGTGTTGATTAAAGCCACAGGTTTCAAACTCCAGGCCCTCAGGCCTGATAAATGGGTCAGATATGTAGTTGGCGAGAGAAATTTAAGTCCATTGTGAGAATTTCCATAACACAGAACCTTACTCTAAACATATACAAACTTGTTGCCAAGAAAAGATGGGATAGATTGGCATAAGATCAAAAGATGGTATGCCTTGAATTATTAGTATTCTAACTTTCATCTGTTTTAGTTCACATCTTTGTAAAAGGTTGACTGCAGTCTTTCTACTGAGCTACCAGTAAACATAAAAATGTGGGTGGTTGGCAGGTGCTTTTGTGAGGTTTGCTCCTTTTTGATCAAATATCTATCATCCTTCTCTCACCTTTTTCTTTTCTTTGTATGTTATTCTCTAGTAAAACCTCTAATCTTCTGTACTTTTAAGACCTGTTTGTGTTGCAGGTTCCATAAAACTCTTACTAAAACTAAGCAAACTGAAACATACAAAGGAATTATCAAATGAGTAAACAAGCATATGAACTTGCAAGAAACTTATGTTTATTCTGAGGGGCCGGGTTTAGAAGTATATGCAGGTGGTTGGCCGGCACCACTGGTATGTCTTCCTTCTTTTCTTTCCCTCTGTTGTTTCTTTCTATCTGTCTTGCTTCTTCCCTGCACTATGTGACTGTCATTGTATTGATTGATGTGCTTTTCTTCACTCAGATTCAAAACTGAGATGTACTTCTGACTTGTGTCAGTGGGTGGTTGGCGGGTGCTCTGGTGTGGTTTGCTTCTTCTTTCCTATCAAACATCTGTCGTCCTTATCTCCCCTTCTTCTTTTTTTATGTTTGTTACTCTCTTGTTACACCTATAATCTTCTGGCGCTCATATGACCTTATGCTGTTGCGAGTGCCGTAATACCTCTACTAAAACTAAAAAACTGACTTTTGTCATTGTTTCCGTCTGTTGTCCAGGTGCCACGGGAATAGAGGACAAACTCCAGGATGGTGTGCCCAGCACCATTCACAAACTGCGGGAGGCCGGCATCAAAGTCTGGGTGCTCACGGGAGACAAACAGGTGAGAGTGTTGCTGTGTTTGGCCTGGCGTGAAAACGTGCAGTCAGCATTGTTGTACAAGTGCTTAGATCCTTCGAAGTTTGGAGAAAATTAAAGAAAAAGAGATAGACCAAACGAGAACCATGAGTAGGGCATTTGTGATTTTTAAAATGAAAACTAGGAAGAAAATAATTAGGTTAAACAGAAGTATATTGTAAGTTGCCATTTGATGCCTTTTTTTTTTTAAAGTTTTGTTTTGAAACCCCCAGAAATTGATTTGGGCAGACTATATCAATGAAATAATGCTCTCTGACCATATTACTGGTTTCTTGAAAATTTTCAAACCCACAAAATCCCTTCCGGGACGGTGCCACTGACTGAAGTGTCTTTAGGCCATTCCCAAGGGGGGGACATTTCTCGTTCTTATGCACAGTAGAATTGTAAATGGGCTGATTCATCAATGTCATGCTCATACTACAGGGAACTGCTGCTTGGTCTTTCCTCATCCTTACTATCGTCATTGTCCTCTACTTCTTTTGTATGTTTGTCACACTCTTGTGACCCGCTATTTCCGGGTGCCTTGAAAGTCGAAACAGACTTTGTGCTGTTGAAGCGAGAGGGGTGAGCAGAGTAGGCCCGATTCCCTGTTAAGACTTCTCTGTTGACATCCACCCCTTGGAGCTCATATGACCTTATGCAGTTGCGAGCGCTGTAAAACCTCTACTTTAAACCCCCCCCCCCCCCCCCCCCCCACAAAAACAAATTTTTGGTTCAGGTGCTGAAAGAGGCCTAATTGTTAGCCCCATGTGCCCTTATACTTTCTAACTCCTCTGATTTTTATTGAGGACCTGCATATGAACCTTGGCAATGGTTATAGATCAAAGAATATGATGACCAATTTCTTCCAGTTATACTGTTAAAGCTTCACACCATGGATATGAAGACTGCAGGGGAAAAAACTGCCGAGTCATATTTTGGTGATGCTGAGAAATCTTAAGTGTTAAAGTTTGTAAGCTTTTATGTTCCAGTTATCATACTGAAATTCTCATACTGAAAATGGTAAACCAGTTCCTATCATTCAGTGTCTGTCATACTAGCATTTGGTAGACCAATATCTGTCATAGTGACATTTTTGTAAATATTAAGTAAACTAGTGTCTGACTTACTGACCTTTGGTAAACTGTGTCTATCATATTCACATATAGTCAACTTTTCGTAAACATATGTCTATCATGCTTACATTTGATAGACCAGTGTCCACCATAAATGAGCGACTAACCACACCTATTGTAAAAATACCCTTCAGTGTTTTATGGACTTCATTTATCAAGTTCTATTTTTTGTTTTGTCCACACAGGAAACGGCCGCACAGATTGCCTATGCCTGCCATCTGTTTTCCTCGGATCAAGAGTTGCTCAAAATCAATGCAGACACCAAAGAGGCAACGAAAGAACGTCTAGACGAGATCCTCGCAGATATTCGGGCTACCAGAACGGCTGAGGACACTGAAAACTTTGGATCAAGAATATCCTTTATATCCCAGTCAATGACCTCGCTACGTTCCACAGTCAATGATCAGCAGAAAAACTATGCTCTCATCATCAATGGGCCCACCTTGAACTTTGCCACCCACGAGGACCTCCAGCGTCGCTTCCTCAAGATCTGCCTGCAGTGTCAGTCTGTGGTCTGCTGCCGTGCCACGCCCATACAGAAGGTGAGAAAGTGCAAGGAGCGATTTCCTCTTGTTTATCTTTTTTGCAGTAATTTTAAGCTCTAACCGGTTAACTGGAAGAATTAGGATAGCATTTTTTGTTGTTGTTCTAAAGCATTTGTGGTTATCGTTGTGCAGGTCCTCAGTTAAGATTTTGCCTTGGGTCAAGAATGTCCAAAGGTATCTGTTATAAATTATTTAGTCACGAATGAAAAAAAAACCTTGTTATAACGAATTTCAGGCAGAGGACAATTTTTTTCAAGTTGAATTTTTTCCAAGAAACCTATTACATGAATAAAGCGTAACTAAATTTATATGTTTTTGCTTTATACCTTTAATTCTTTATCACTCTGACGGATGGGTGTGCAGTCCTTCGGCATCTTTGGGGACTTAGTAGGCTATTTGTGTTGCCCTCCAAAGGTATCAGTTGGATTCCTATGTAGGGACAGTTGGAACTGTCGAAGATATCCACCTATTGTCGAGAAGAAAAATGGACGTCTTACACAGTGTCAGTATAATATCAAAATTACACAAGGGAGGATGGGAAATGGCAGTTTGTCCAGGTGTCACCATTAAAGCAGATTTGACTGTATTTTGCAGAGTATCTTGATCTTTCTGTGGGGATATATGTATCCCACACGTCTCATGTTGTTGCTGCAGTGGTTCTATTTGCTGGTTCTACTTCACTGTCAGGGTTACTTTTTCCTATTCTTTTTTTCTTTTATTGAAGTGGGTGGTTGATGGGTGCTCCTGTGTGGTCTGCTCCATCAGTGTCTTTGAAATATCGCTTTCATTATCTTGGCTATTGTCATTATATTAAAAAACGCAAGGTGGCATATTAGAAATTTGTACTGATTTGTCCTGGACAGGTGGCCGTAAGAGCAGGTTTGACTGCATAACAATTTTTGGTTGTAACCTTTCATAGAACACACCAATTTGTTTCAAATTTGAACTTTTAGCTTGTTTAATTTTATCATTATAACACAAAAGAAGTGGTCCAACCATATAAAGGCAGCATTTTCTCTTTGTTTTTGTTGATTAATAAATTGAAATGTTAGCTAGTTTGCTGTAGTCATTCTTGACAAAAAGAGATTATTCTAGTTTCACTATCTCAAAATGCAATTCAAAAGAGGGGTCAAAAGTTGTTCTAAATATTCCATTTTGACCATTCATTTTTCCAAATGAACAGCCTCTGGCATCATGTATTAGATTGGTACCCACAATTGTTGTTGTTTTTTTTTTCGCTTCTCCTTCAGTCTACGGTGGTGAAGCTTGTGAGGGACAATCTGAAGAAGTTAACCTTGGCTATAGGTGAGTCCTTTGTGTGAAAGGTTTGGGCTGCTATTATGGGATGTTTGTTTGGGATGTTTGTTTGTGTGGGATGTTGTGTGGATTGCTTGTGGGATGTTCATCTGGGATGTTTGTTTGTATGAGATGTTCATGTGGAATGTTTTAATATGGGATGTTTGTGTGGTATGTTTTTGTAGGATGTTTGTGGGGAATATTTATGTATGTGGGATGTTCTTGTGGGATGTTTGTATGGAATATTTATGTATATGGGATGTTTGTGTAGAATATTTATGTATGTGGGATGTTTGTATGAATTATTTATGTATATGGGATGTTTGTATAGAATATTTATGTATGTGGGATGTTCTTGTAGGATGTTTGTATGGAATGTTTATGTATATGGGATGTTTGTGTAGAATATTTATGTATGTGGGATGTTCTTGTGGGATGTTTGTATGGAATATTTATGTATATGGGATGTTTCTGTAGAATATTTTTGTATATGGGATGTTCGTGAGGGATGTTCATGCTGTTCGAGTATGTTGATGGTGTTCCCGTGTTGAGGATAATCAAAGGACCTCAATACATGGGTAAGGATATATTTCAACCGTCCATTCATAAAATAAGTGAAAAGAGTCTTTTGTGCATGATGGCATGGTGAACCAAATGCGGTCCCATTGAAAGGGGAGAGCCTGTTTGTGTGGGTGGTTGGCGTGTGCTCTGGTGTGGTTTGCTCCTTCTTTCCTATCAAACATCTATCTGTCCTCAGAGAAATTCGCGCACGCAACCCGCAAGTTGCGCACGCAACTTTTGCCCTCAGCGCAACTTTTACCATTTTCATGAATTCGCGAATTTTAGCCAATTTCCCGCAAAATTTGGGAAAATGATAATAAATTGTCATTAAAAACCGAAATTTTCTTCCACGACTAAAAATAATGACGCAAAGGGGGACAATTCGCTCCTTTGCACTAGGCTACGGGGTGCCCGCCGCCGCCGCCCAGTGACCCGGGCCGGGTCAGGTCCGGTCGGGATGATCGCCCGACTTGTCGCCTGAAAACAACATGCTTGTTTTGAAACATCGAGTCGGGTGCGATCGACTTGTGCCACAATAGCCGCTTTGCATCATAATCTGGCGAGCAAACCGGCCCATTAGTCTTGTTTGGACTGAATCATCTTCTAGTCTAGCTAGATCTAGAATCTAGATCTAGTGTAAATCAATGGTAAACACGGTCGTCTGATTACTCAGCTTGCTTTATGAATGGTTACTTAGCACCAGGTAGATAGATCTAGATCTAGTATAAAAAATTTGTGAAAGACTTTAAATCTTAGGCTAGGAGGCTAATCTAGACATTAATCGATTCATCCAGAAAACCCCTAAAGGGGACGTTCAAATAATATCTTTCGCCTGGGAAAAAAAAAGGGGGAGGGGTTGGCTCCTGTACTGTAAAAATTAAGTGTAAGAAAGGGGGGGGAACCAATGTAAAATTACACTTTTGTAAGGTGAAAAAATAATCAAGGAAAATATAATTTATGACAACGTAATTAAAAAAAATAATAAGCAAACATAAAAGAGAGTAATTACACCATTCACTTAGAGTAAGTTCGAGCGGTAATTAAGCACTGCATTGTGGCGATACAGTGGACCTCGAGCGGCAAGCACGATATATGTATATATATATGTCAACTCGCACTTTATACACTGGTAGATATCTGGGCTACATAACAATTAACATGTAGATGTAGTCTAATTTTGATTACACCGGTGCGGTTAAAGTGGTAAAATGACAACGTACGTTTTTCTGGAAAAGTTCCGCTTGAAGCGTATTTAATTATTATGTCACATAAGATCTATGCATGTTTTTCATGAATACTATAATTGATCATTTAAAAGTAAAACGCATAGAAGAGTGATTGTAACACTGATTTGCGTAATATAAATGTCATATATTATTATTTTAAGCGAATAGCATAATATTACGGGATTGAGGGGGGGGGGGGGGGGGCGCGGCAGGAAAGTGTTTAAAAAAGTGTAAGATTATATTTGAACAGCCCCAAAACCACACTGGTCACACCTGCCCAACGTCAGCGAGCGTTTAAGGACCTGACGCATGTGCCAGGGGACACACTGTTTTTGTACACCATGCAACCTCCATGCAGTTTTTTTTTGTTTTTTGTGTGTAGACATTCACATTCAACTTCTGATTTTGATCAAACAAAACTCATATAGGTTACTTTAGATTGCAATGAGCATAACAACAATGCATTCCAATAGTTCCGTGGCATTGTTTTAGCTATACACGTCTTGCAACTTTTCTTGCAACTTTTGCTAATTTTTCTTGCAACTTTTTGCAACTTTTGCTATTTTCAAATGCAACTTTCTCTGAGGACAGATCTATCGTCCTTATCTCCCCTTCTTCTTTTTTATGTTTGTTACTCTCTTGTAACTCCTCTAATCTTCTGGCACTCATATGACCTTATGCAGTTGCGAGGGCCGTAAAACCTCTGCTAAAACTAAAGACCCTGTTTGTGCAGGAAAATTCTGAATGGAAGGTTGGAAGGCTAGAGTTTACTTATGGGTGGTTGTAGTGTGCTCTGGTGTGGTTTGTTCTTTCTTTCTTATCAAACATCTTTCCTCCTTTTTTGTGTTTGTTACTCTATTGTAACACCTCTAATCTTTGGCATTTCTATGACCTAATTGTGCTTCAAGTGGCATAAAACTCTTACTAAAAAATAAAAGAAGAAAATTTATCTTATTTTCTTGCAGACGTCTAACTGGTTACCTACTTGTACATTTCAACTTGTTATTTCCTCATAAGGTGACGGTGCCAACGATGTGAGCATGATCCAGACGGCTGACATCGGTGTGGGCATCTCTGGTCAGGAAGGCATGCAGGCTGTCATGTCCTCGGACTTTGCCATCGCTCGTTTCCGTTTCCTGGAGCGCCTTTTGCTGGTTCACGGCCACTGGAACCACGACAGGCTGTCCAAGTTTGCTGCCATTATGTTTTACAAGAGTCTGGTGGGTGCATCTGATTGTGCTGCTTTTTCAAACTTTTTTTGAGGGGAGTTGTAGAATTTATTTCGATTTGTATATTTTGAGTTTTGCTGCTTTTTCCAAAGTTTTTCATTTTTCTTTTTAGAATTCATTTGAATATGGGGTGTCTCAGACTTTCTGTATTACTGTTTAAGAGGATCGTCATCGTCATCGTTTGCCTCTTTCACCCTGGTATTGACTATAGACTGCCAAGAAGAACTCTCCTCCTGTTTTTGTTCTGGGCGATCCATTCTTGTTGATTTTAGAACCACCAAGGGATCTTCGACATGCACAGCTTGCAAACGGGACCTGCAAAATTTTTTGCCCTTTTCCGAGAAGCTAAGGTGTTTGATTTTACTTACCCTAAGATCAGGGGTCTAAGTGAAAGACAGCAGTAAGAAGGAGCAAAGAGTAAAAGAGAGAGGAGCCCAGTGGAGACGGTGGGTGTGGGAAGAAATTGGAAATTAAAGCAGATGACAGAACAGGACTGGAGAACTGGAAATTCTTTTGTCACACCGTGGGACTACCTATTGGGATTGGAACCAATGACATTTTAGATGTGGGCCCAACAGTCTATCCACTATAGTGGTAGTTACATAAGTAGGAAACCTGCCAGGTAAACAGTGGGAACCAAAGCAAAACATTTGTGAGGCATCGTGGTGAAATCGAAAGCATTTTGCACCGGCTTGGTAAGTTGATTTATCGAGTTTTTGTTTTTACCCAACACCTTTTTCGTCCATTTAAAAACACATTTCTGTGTGTATTTTCTGAAAAATGTAAATTTTCAGTTTCCAAGAGCTCTCAAACTATGGAAGTCGCCAAACTTTAGGGGCTATTTTCTCGCTAATTTAACCTCTGAAACCAGGCGACTCCAACCTCCTTCAATCACAAATATCTTGACTTCTGTTCAAGATAGATGGGTATTTTGTTCTTCGGAATCAAGGCAACTGACTAAGCTTTAAGATGATACGAATAACTCCACATGCCCCAAAATTGACGAGCGCCAGAGTCCACAGCGCCGTGACACATTTGTTCTCTCCCCACAGCTGTCCGTCCTGGTTCTGTTCTGGTTCCAAATCTTCAGCGGTTTCTCTGGCTCTCTGATGATTGACAGCCTCTACCTGACCATGCAGCACGTCATCTTCACGGCTGCCCCGCCCCTCACCATCGGCATCTTCGATAAGGATCTCTCGGCTAGGACTCTGCTGGCAGATCCCACCCTGTATAAACCAGGCCAGAGAGGGGATGTAGGTGTTGTTTGTTTGATTGTGTGTGTTGTGTGTGTGTGTGTGTACATGTGTGAGTATGTATGTGTACACATGTGTGTGTATGTGTGTGTACACATGTTTTTTATTTGTGTATACAAATGTGTGTATGTATACACATGTGCATATCGTCGGCCTTGTGATAAAACCGGCTAACCCCAGCGAGGTAAATTTTACAGGAGAAGGAAAAAACTGTTTTATTTCAAAACAAAGGCGTCTAACGATAAATCAATGCTTTAAACACCTATAAAAACGCTTTACCGAAAATCTGTAGAACTTTTTTTCCTTTAAAAATTGCTTTTAATGAAACTGTGTGGGTTAGACGGTTATGTCGCTCAAATTTTCCTGGATAAAACTGACCAACCCTCAATTTTGTGGGTTGACCGGTTTTATCAGGAAGCCACTGCTGGCCTTGAGTTTGGTTGAGTGCAGCCAAGCCACACTTGACGGTAGCGTATTTGATCACTTGCTTCAATCGTCAAGATCTTTTGTAGAAGGAGAAGAAGAAGAAGGAGGAGGAGAAGGAGGAGGAGGAGGAGGAGGAGAAAAAAGAAGGAGGAGGAGGAGTAAGAAGAAGAAGAAGGAAGAGGAGGAGGATTATATTATTGCTACCAACATACTATCAGCTGCTGCCATTTCAGTGCTACGGAGTCAATTCGGGCAAAAACAGCAGTCACAAAGTTTAACCTTTAATAGAAGTAGAAGAAGCAGAAAACTGCAATGGGTATATTAATTACATTTAAAGTAGAAGAACAGGAGGTTGGAAGGGTAAGGGAGAACAGCTACAGCAACAACAACAAAAACAACAACTACAACAACAACAAAAACAACAGTAGAAGCAGCAGCAGCAGTAGGCCTTTAGAATTTATAACCATGTCCGACACGGTACTATTGGCACTGGGTGGCCATTCAAAGGCTTGGAAAAAAGTAATACTAAGAAAGAAATGAAAGCAGAAAGCCACACAAAAGCTCTGCTACCTCGGCAATGGTTTGGGAGAAGTTGGTTACATAATGATATATCATTATTATACAAAAAGACTTTTTGAGTACCAAAGAATGCGCCAGCTTTCTCCAAGTGTGTGGCTTGACAACTACTACTTTATTGAGTTTTCTCGACGACAGAAAGAGCATGTCTGTCTCACTCTGTGTCCTATGGCTACAACAAGGCAATACGACAAAAGTTACCATTGTTTTGAAAGACTCTACTATAATCGAATTTGGCTTGATCGCTTTCAAAACTTCTTACTGAGGCAAAGTTTCATGGTGTGGTAGCATCGTGGTACGACGGCCTTCAACTCAAGTAGATGTTTATACTGGTTGGCAGTTATCTTCAATCTGTCTTTGCAGAGAGGTCCAGCAGTAACCGTCGTACACTTGTGTTCAGCTTTCTTGGTCCCTGCAGCGCTTGCCATCCATCATCAAAGTTCACCTTGTACTGAATTTTAAAGACTGGAGTGTACTTTGATGCCTGCAAGTCAGTGACAGTAGGATCGCCTGCTTTTCTCCCTGGACGGGTTTTTTCCTGCTCTCCGACCTTTGCGAAATCTTTGAAAAAGCTGTGGTCCAGGAACATAACTTCATAGGGCCTGGGGATGCGTCTGGCTTTGAGCATGATGTTATTGGGATGTACATCAGTGCGTTTTTTAGCGATCGCTCAATAGTGCCATGGACTGAATCCACTTCCATTTGGGTATGGCCCTTGGGAAGAATTTCTGCTCAACTGTGATGTCAAGCTCTTTGGCCAGCGAGGCCATTGCACTCACCAGGGTGGCTTTTTGTTTTAGTAGTTGCGCCAATCACTGCAGATGATGAAGTGGTTGAAGTCAATCACTTGCAATATCAGTTAGTGAGTCAGACGTGATGAAAACTGTTGAAGCCCAGACCAACTTCACTTTCATACCAGACATATCATCTGGCGTCTCTGGTGGCAAGATCCTAAGTCGTAACATTGTGTACAGCCAGTTTTGTTTTATATAAGGTGGAAGTCTTTAGTGATGAGGCCAGAAGGACGCACTGGATCTCCATACAAAGGACAAACACAGCCTCCCTGTCCTTCTCCTTCTCTGGTCTAGCGGCAGCTTTCCTCATATTCATATTTGAGCTGTGTGTTCTGTTTCTGTGAGGTTTCCAGATTTGAACTTTGTACAAATGTTGCACTGGTCTTTCTTGGTTGAAAGTAAACCCAAATTGTTTTTCTTGAACTTTTGGCAGAACACTTGATAGCTCAATGTGGCTTTCACCCTCTCTGCAAAGTTCTCCATGTATACTTGATGCAGATCTGACGTTTTCTGGATTGTCATCTGTAGACAGGTGGATATCTTCGAAAGTTTGTCAAAAAATTCCTCTTTATGGAACAACTTGTCATCCTTGGCTCTCTCATGGTGGGCGCGATGTGTTCTAGGTGGGTGGACCTCTTGGTTGTTGTTTTTTCGGAGAAGACACTTTAAATTAACCAGTGGGTCAGGCCTGTGGTGTTCTTGAAGATTGTTTTACAAACAGGTGTTCTTTGACCATTGACTCTTGTAAGTGGCTGTAATTTCTCCTTGGGTTTTCGCTTGCTGTGTAAGATCTCTTATTGTCTATCATGGTTATCGTGTCATATACGTAGGCTCTCTTTTCTTTCCAAGAGAGTGACCAGTGATATCATTGCATTTTGTACCAACCAGTTTACAACTGCCAAGGACGTCAAGTTCACATCCTGCTCGCTTCGCGCCTTGACCCCAGTTCTTTCAACCTCTTCCTTTTGTTACCCTTCCAATCTTTTTCATGCCGTGTGCTTTTCGCAGAGATCAAAGGTAACATAACTATTGTACTATCAACTGATGTGACATTAGCCTGGTCATGTTGATCACTTTCCACTGCGCTGAGGGTAAGAGGTGACGCAGCAAGAGTGGCATCATCTTATTGAATGTTATAGCGTTATGTAAGTTAAGGTTTGATATAAAGATAAAGCATTAGGTTATGACACTGAGAAAATAATCTACTCAAAACACAAACGAAATGAACTTTCAAAGAAAGTCAAACGATGTTTCAGAAGGTAATGACTGCAATAAACACAGCAAATGAAAAAAAAAAAAAGAAAAAGCACTTTAAAAAACAACGATTGTTGGGGGCAGACGGTGTGCTGGACAGGTCCCACAATTATTTTTTTTTGGAGTGAGTTAGTAAAGGAGGAAATGCTATCTACTTCGTCCATTCAATTGTGAAGGAAAAATGATTAGGAGAAGAGACAGTAGTCCGTATAGGGGAAAATGCCTTCACAATCGGTGAATTTCGAGTACAAAGACAAAGAAAAACACGCGGACAGAAAACATAGTTTCATACAAAACAAAATCCATAAAGATGCATTTCAAATACCGGAATTGTCACGAGATAAACAGTTCTGTGGGAACAGTGGGGAGTTTTAGTCATTAATTACATTATCAGCAGCATTAAAACGAAGAAAAAAGAGGAAACAATCAGATCTATATAACTCCCCAGTGAAATCAACAAGAAATATTACACAAATATTCCTTTTTGGAGAGCTCCCACGGTTATGTGAGCAAATTCTGGACTATTACAGGTCTGAATCTGATGTCAAACTAAGTCCGGAGAGGAGTCGAAGCCGGGGTTAGTCGGTAACGTAGCAAGTGGCCCCTCATTGTTAGCGCGATAAAAACAGCCAACCCTCATTCCGTCCCTCGCAGGTGGGATAGTCGGAATTATCGGGCTAAAATCCGATGGGTGCCGGGTTATACGGTTTTATTTCTAATGTTTTAAAGACATTTCTAGATAAAATTCAGATCTGTCTTTGAGTGAGCATATGAAATGGACAATTTACTATCGATAGGGCCAATAAAAAGTTTTTTGATATTTTGTGGGTTAGACGGTTTTATCACCAGGCCGACGATATGTTTGTGTTCACCTGAATGTGTATGTGTGTGTATGTCATGGAATGCCAGTCATTCTTGTCACAAATTGTATAGTTAAAATTTTAGAATGAATTTCAGTCAGAAAAATGTCTTCCCAGTAAGAACGGTGACATTCTCTAGAGCAGAAAGCAATGTCACGGGAATGCTAGTCATTGTTGTTAAATTTTTTTTTTTTACATTTTTGTCAGAAAAATAAGTTTTCAAACTGCAACCTCTTCTTCATGTTGCATAGAATATTATTGGCTAGATGTTCAAACTTTCTAAGCCCTGGAAAGCAAAACTTTTCAGAAAGAAAAAAAAAAAGTTTCACTCTGTTCAATACTGCACAAGAATTATGTGTCTTTTCTGACTTTTTTAGGCATTAGGATTTGAATTTTGACAAAATATCTCTAGGGCACATACAACCAATTCCACAAATGAAGAAACTGGAATTCAGAAACATTTTTTAATTTTAGGCTTGTCACATCAGAATATCTGCCCTGTGATATAGATCTAGGCATTAACTCTCACAAGTTGTAAATAAAGTTAAGTTTGAAATATAATGTAAACGTTTGCATTTTCTGTATGAAATGGATAGGTTTCAAGCTACAAGAATGTACTACCCATCAAAATTGTCTGAAAAGAATGAAGATCTGATATGAAGATACAGTTGTAGCACAGACAAGTAGATATTTCTTATAAATGAGGACAACAAGAAAAAAACCAATAATGCAGCATCTAGTCTGTAGATGGGCCAACTTCTAAGAGTTACGATTTCCTGGTAATGTGAGTTTGTAGAAAGCATTGTCTGATGCAGATATTGTATATCTGTTCGAATTTCTAACCCCTCCCCAGATGTACACTCACTGGACCTTTCTCATCGTCATGATAGACAGCATTTACCAGAGTCTATGCATCTATTTCGTCCCTCACCTGGTCAGTACTTTTGTTGTTGTTGATGTTGTTGTTATTATTTTGGATGTTTGGAGGCTGCCTCTAGAAGGTGCAGTTTCTTCCCAACTATTGTTTTTGTCTGTCTGTCTATCTTGCTTTTCCTTTGTGGTAAATGATCGTTACTATGTCGATATAGTTCTTTTTACTCAAAACTGTTACTTGTTTTGGTTGCTGCTGCTATTTTAATTGGGGGTGGTGTTCTTATCACCTCTTGTATTATGTGTTTTATTTTGCAAAAGCTGATGAGAAAGCACAATGTTAATTTTTTACAATAGAGGAGAATCAGGGCAATATATATATTTATCAATCTTTTTGTATCCTGAACTTTTGAACTAGCTTGTGCAGTTGGTAGAAGGGTACCACATGTGGGTTCTACTTTTTTCTTTCTCTGGGTCGTTTCTGTCCATCTGTCTCACTTTTTCCCTGCTGTAAATGATCGGTTTTGTGTCAGGTTTTTCTGTACTTGAAAAAACAAACATGATCTCTGTGGGTGGGTGGCAGGTGCTCTGGTTTGGTTTGCTCCTTCTTTCCTATCAAACATCTGTCATCATCTTTCCTCTTTAATTTATTTGTACATTACTCTCTAGTAACTTCTCTAATCTTTGCCACTTAGATGACCTATTTCAATTTGTGTTGTAATTGCCATAAAGCTTTTACTAAAGCTTTGAATGAGTCTTATTGTGTCAGTGTGTTTTCTCTACTCAAACAAACAAACATGATCTACCTTCATTCCGCAGTCATACGAGAACCACGCGGTGGGGCTGTGGGAGTTTGGGACCACGGTGGACGTGTGTATGATCCTCACCATCCTGCTGCACTTTTGTATAGAAATCAACTCCTGGGTAAGTCGATGTGATGTCAGAGGGCACCACTCGAAGGTCCTACTTCTTTTTTCTCCTATCTTTTATTTCTGCCTGCTTGTCTTCCAGGCTGAAGGGCTTGAACTTAGATGGCTGCTGGATCAGAAAAGTAGAGTAAGAGTGTGCTTTTTGCTCAGCACTGAATGACCATTGATGTGTCAAATGTGCTTCTCTGTATTGAAACATACTTCTTTATTGTCCTTCTGTTGTTTCTGTCTGTCTGTCTTACTTTTTCCCAGCACTAAATGACCATTATTGTGTCAGTGCGCTTCCCTTTACTCATACTTACTTTAATTTACTTTTTTCTTCCGCTTGTACCGGGGGGTGTCACGGGGAGACACAGGCGTCTGTCTGCAGCAAGACGAGTGACCTGTAGGAGGGACATCCCATGAGCTCTGAGGGTGTCGGCCACAGA